TTTAGGTCGTTCGACCTGGGTTACCTGTTTGGATACCTGTCTGGGTGGGTTTAACATCCATCAATACAGCGGTTCCCGAACATTTTCGTCGGTAGCCTGCGGTACGAAAATCTCTCGCAGCACCTAAACAAGATTCCTCTTTCTCTCTCATCCCTTCCCTCAACCTTTCATTCTATTTTTTTTCACTTCACAGGTAAACACAACGCTCAGAAAGAATAACACAGTTTATTCTTCCGTTTTTCGCTCGGTAATACTAACTATCGCTCCGGGTCTTCGGATTTGTGCAAGCCATCGAGAGATCTGCCACATGATGCAAATTCCACACGGACAAAAATACGCGCTCGCGGATAAACGGATGTGTGAAGCGCGAATCGTATAAATTATGGTCTTTTTGGTCGACCCTGCTGGCATGCCGTTACGTATGTCCGTCGGACGGACAGGCCATTACATTTAGACAGCCGGGCGTGCGCTTAAAGAGCAGCGGACCGAGTGCGACACGACGTGCAGACGCGTTTCGCGCAAGTTGCATGCGAATCGCGGGTGTATCTCGGTGAGAATTTCATGTCGGATCGCTTCATTGTACGCGTTTCGTGTGCGTCCGTCATAAGCATACGCAAGATGCCCGGCAGATTAACGCGTAAATGTTCCAGTAAAACGACACGGTCGCGCAATCGAAATCACGTGGCCTGTGAGCTACTTAAGTAGCATTACGGCCCAAAGAGTATCAACAATTGCCTCGCTCCGATTCTACATCGTCGAGATTATCACTCACTCGTTTCTGAATACGATAAGTAAGGTAAAAGTACCACTTCCCGGACACGTATCTATTCCTGGGCATTCTTATCGCTTTGATCCTTAAAAAAATCTTTAACATATGGAATACGTATCTATACTCTATACAATATATGTATTATTGAATTGTGCAATGAACAATTTCGGATTTTTAAGATAAAATTAAACGATAATATTTTTGTGTCGTTATAATTTCATGAAACAATGTATGCGAAGGATGGCGGAAGATCATAGATCTTCACACAGCGCATACATTGCATCACAAAATTGTAACAATATGAAAACAAACGTTTTATTTTTCGCGAAAAATCCGAAATTATTTATTACATAAGCCAAAATTTAAATATGATATATATTTGTGTTGAAATATCGCAATATAAAGTAATAAAGATATTACAGACTATTATTTCTAAAACTAAGCAAAATATGAAACTTTTGGTTTCTATCAACCGTTTGGTATTATTATTTAATAATAAGGTAATATTATTTGATAGTTAGTTTTTTTTTGGATGAAGACGTCTGTATTAAGGTAAATTCAAGGATACTTTAATTTTTCAATTATTAATATAATAGACTCTGTGATATATTTCTGTATGTAATTATAGATTAGAGAGACATATCTGCAGTGTCCTCACGATGCCAAACATTCTACATTCGCTTCGCGTGTACATTCGCCATTCCGCGAAACATATGTTTAAAATATCTTTTACGGCTAATAACGCCAAGTTTATTGCGCCTCCTGGCCAGGGTGTCACGCGGTCTGCGCGTCCGCAAGCGTATTACATTACGTTCCGTAATCTGCGGCACCAATTAACGCGATCCACGTTTGTTATTGTTATTCAACGACACGAAGAGCCTAGCGGAGGGGGCAAAATCGAGGTCTCCGATCGTAAAAGGCACGACATCTTCTTTTCTTTCTACCTTTCTCTTTCCTTCTCGCGCAACAGAGACGCCAAACGACACGAGGGGACGAGCTCCGATAAATTATTCATGGCCTAGACGACTGCGCCCGAGACTTTTATATAAATTTTTATAGGTCGCACAAGAACGAGGCGGTTACGTGTCTCCAGGAACGCGATTTCCTCGTATCGATCGATCGACGCGTCGTCCACGATGCACGGCGGGGGATACGTAATCCTTCTTTATCAATAAATAATGCAGGCAACGAAGTGAGTGCTTCTAACTCATTTACGATGTCAAGATAATTTCTGTGTATAATTAAGGTAATAATTCTTGATATTTGCAAATAAGTATACAGTGTCTCAATAAATGTAATAATTTCTATACAGAAAAAAGATTTCAATTTGTAAAACATTCTAAACGTTCAGCTGCATTAAAACAAAGCAGCAGTTGAGGCAACCGAGAGTAACTAGCCGAGCAGAAATCTCCTACAGGAATCTTTCTACAATCGACTTTTTCACCTGGTGATTCCCAGCTAACAGAAAATTTAACTACATTAATGGAGTTGTTTTTCACGTGTGTATACTTCGATAAGTAAAATTTCGATATCACTTCGAAGTGGCCTACTCAATATCCATTCCAAAGTCTAATCAACGATCGCAGTGGCGATACTTATCATCCGACCGTTCAAGCCAGCGTTAAATTAATCGTACACCCAATACAATAGTAAACAAATCACTTATCTCAGGGATAACTCAACTTTCGCAAGAGCGCGTATATCGTCTTATATCCACACGACCCTTCGCGTACTTCAGATACCGGCGATAACCAGCGAGAGAGATACGTCTTGAAAAATTAGTACGTCGCGATAACACGTTGTGGCTCTCGTCCGTTACTCGCCCGGTTCTTCCCCGGTCTTTAAATAACACGATCGTGCTTCGACGAGTACTCCCGCTGTTCTTGTGGATATCACGCGAAACACCACGTGCATACTGCGAAAACGGCATATACAAGCGCGTAATAAGCAAGCAAGCGCAAACAACGCACGCTCCGGAGCAATCCTACCACAACATCAAGTACGCCTAAATACGCGTCCGTTATTACTATCGCTCCTCACAGTAGTAGAAAAAAAAAAAAAAAAAAA